AAGTAGTTAAATAAAACAAAAATAATTGGATCTTGTCTTATTTGGGGCTGGAATTAAAATTCCACTCTAAAGCTAATAACAGCTGAGGTGATCTCCATCTGAATTTTAGCCCTGATTATATGATTAATATGTCTTTTGTCATTACATATGTTTTTGTATTTGTGGAGGGATGACAGATAAAAAAAAACATTCATTTTATGCAGCACACCAATAAAGGCTAAAGCTTCACTGAAAAGAGTGAGAATTCTAGAAACAGTATGAGGGTTGGAAAGAAGATTTAACAGAAAGTATAGCTTTGGCAGAGGGAAGAGTCCAAAACATTCTGATCAAGATGCCTTGTCAATATGATTCTAGTCCTGAAGCACAAATCTTCCCTGAACAGGATTCGATAACGTGATAAAATTAAGACTCCTTTGTACAAGTGACGGTATTGGTCTTTGTGTTTGGTTACATCATTCAAAAAGTCTACATGAGCTCTGCAGTAGAAGTCATTTGAGCGGCGCATGCACGACCAGGGTGATCACTTTTAATACTTTCAGGAACAAGAAATTTATCCACTCTCATTTGGAAACCAGGAAATTCATGCGCATCCTGAAGAATAAGCCTTTGACATGTAGAAAGAGGCTTTTCTTTCTTTAAAAGTCTCAATTTCTAGCCAAGGTTTGAGTCCGAGGGAAAGACGGGCCAGCATTCAGAAGTCATAATCTATTTTCAAGGCATATATTTATTATTAAAATAAAATTTCACTCCTAAAATTGTGGTTCACTTACATAAAAAAAGTGCCGAAGCCCTTTCTTTTAGGGCTCCGATGTGCTGCAGCTACAATTATGATTTATCTCAAAAACTGAGAAGTGCCGGAGCTGGGCTCCGGTGGACTCTAGCGCAATTTAAGCTCTGAATACATGAGGGCCAGAACAAAGAGAAAATATGAATATTCCTTTTACAGGTGAAGTCAGAAATTTCTCCTTTGATGAAAATCATTTTATCCAAGTTGGAACTTTTGACATACAGTATTGGTTCACGCTTTTCAACTGGGTAAGGAAACCCAACCCTGTATGTGCAAAACTATTTCTGGGCAGGTACTTTCAACTGCACGTAGCTGGATAAGGAATGAAATCTTCGAAGACTTTTATTCAGATCAAGACGAAGAAAATTCTGAAAATTGACTTCACATTCCATCTGAAATGAGTAGCAGACCTCCCTTTCACAGATATTCCATGGAAAGTTTAAAAGTGGCCAGATTGTGGAAGGGTCCACCTTAGCCAAGCAAAGAGGCCGAGTTTAGATGATGATTCAGAAGAAATGGTTGAGGAACAGCAAAGAAAAGGGATTCTCTTGCTTGTAGCATCTGAATTTAGTTATTTGGAGACATTTTCGTACTATCGTAAAATAGTAAATAAAAAGTTGTATATTCTCCAATTTGTTAATAACTCAAGAAAATACCAAATATAACACAAATTTAATTGTTGAAGCATCATAAAGTGCTGGAAGAAAATTAATAAAAATGATTTAAAAGAAATTATTTCACTCTAATGGCTTTGAGAAATTTAAACCTTTATCTGATTTGAACATCATGAAGAACTTCTAAGAATACAAACAAAATTATTTAAAAAAGGTGATGTTGAAAGTTTTAAAAATGCCTGTCATATTGCCCAATAATCACAAATTTCTGAAGCTGTTAATTGAATATGAGCGTGAACCTTTTGATAGTGGTGAACGAGCTCAGCTTGCATTCAAGTTACGCACCGCAGTAATCGCAAACGACTACAGCTCATATTACAAATTTATGACTGACAGATATCGCGCATATTTGGGAAGAAGCAATTGCTTGATCTCGCAAGCTCTGAAGGGTTAAAATAGTTTTTATGCGGGACTTCATACGCTTTTGTTCTTTTTAAGAGAAGATTTTTGTGTTTTAAGAAGTAAAACAATGAAGAATGTAATAAAGAAGTGCATTAAATGTCAAAGGTGTGCTGCTTATGAGATCAATATTCTTTCTGCAACCATGCCAGAAGATGGGCTCAGTGATGTAGTTGTATTTGAAGTGAGAGGTGTAAATGTTGCAGAACCCCTGATTTTATACAACAGAAGAGCTTGGTTAAGCTACTTGTATGTGGCATGGGGCATAAGGACTCTCTGTTTAAGGGGAGGTATGCCTTCGTGAAGGACCTTCTAAAGACCACTAAAAATACACTTGCAACCAGCCTGCTTGCCAGTATTCGAATTACCTTTATTAACTTCATCAATGGCCAAGTTTAATCGCTCTCCCATTGTGGCGCGAGTAAAATGGATCCTCTTATTCATACTCTCTTAGTGAGAGTTTCCTTATCAACAGTTAAATTTCTCTTTGGGTTTTGAAGGTTTGGCACATGTAAATGTCATCCCAAATACTGTTTTGTAGCAGCTGAGAATTTATTGGAAGTCTTTGATTTGAATAATATTCAAGAAATGCCTTCAATTTGACAAATACAATTGAAGTTCAGACTTTCTATAGCAGGTTGGTGAGAGACGTTGGTTCAGTTGACAAAAAGATTGTTGTGTAGACTTTTTAAGAAATTTTTAAGTTTGGAGAAAATTTAAAGTTCTCAAGTTTTAAAAATTTTAAGAATTAAAAAAAATTTTTAAGTTCTCAAGTTTGGAGAAACTCATGCCTAGACTGTGTTGAGTTTAAAAAATAAAGCATGCTCTATTTGCGATTAAATTCTGATCTGCTATGAATATCCCAGAAAACTGAATTTGCAGAGTGATTCCATAATTAAGTTCTTCCCCATCTGCACTTACAGTTTTCTACCTAATATTTTCATGTAGATATGTTGTATTTAGCCTTAGATAGTGTTGAAGATTTTAATTTTCATAATTGCTTGTATATTTAAGTTTGATTAGTCCTACTAATTGAGGCCCGGTGGCGCAATAGCTAGCGTGTCATGCAGCAGCACCACAGGTCCGGGGTTCGATTCCTGGCCTGGGCAATGCATCCCTTCAGTTGGTCGATAAAATGAGTAGTACCAAGTTCACTTGGGGACCAGGGGTTCTGTGACAAGCTAACTATTTGTCCAGGTCTATATGTTCATGCACCCCAGGGTCCACGGTCAACAAAGCTGAGTTTTGTTTAATTTAGGTCTTCTAATTAAAAGGTGGGAATATGTCAAGAATTGAAACTAAATAATTATGAGTTTGTATTGTAAAGTCTCATTCTCTTAGGTAACATAAAGTAATTCACTGTAAAAGACTGTATGAGGAATTATCCCCAGATCTTAGTACAACAGAAAATTCAGAAGGAGGTTGTAACGAACCCTTTATTCAATGTATATAATTGCACGGATGGCCCCACTAGGGCTTACATAAAGCCAACGCTTCTGGCTTAACTTAAACAGCTAACGCTGAATTTGAAATATATTCAATTTAGCGTAACGACTCACAGGATAACTTAAGGCTCAGGAAGGCTCTGATTTGTAGAAGCAGGCAGAAACAAGATTAATGGCTAGAATTACTCAAAGCCAGAGAATCAAATCACTAGTGGTTCGAAATAACAACGTGGCCTTCAAGCGGGCATAATATACTCTGAAATAACCTAATTAGCATTCTGGCAGGAAAGCTTGGGTGGAAACGAGATTGAAAGAAAAGTTACTTTAACTAAAAATTAGCTCTTAGTGAAACTAAATAAATCTCCCAAGTATCTAAAAGTTTAATTAGTACAGAGTGGCTACAATAAGAGAATTTTTTAGAATGTAAAAATGTTTTGATATTATGATCAGGAGAGAAATCTTCATACATATTTTTTCTCTGGAAAATGTAAAAGTAAAGATGGTTCTGTGTTTAATTGGCAGTTATTTGACTTTCACCCCACACCCATGTATCTCATTTCAAGAAGTTATTTCACTTTCAGCATTTTGCTCTTTATTCTCGTATCACTAGCTTGCTAAAAAGGTTTTGATATCAAATGAATGGTGTAGTACCATACCAGTACAGAAATAAAAGAAGGGAAAGTAGCATATCAATTTTTTTTAAAGTTATGATAAATGGACTCAAATCCTTATAATTTGCTTATTCCCTTACGTATAATTTGCTTATTATTTCTGTTAATTCATCTTTTTGTGCCTCGTATTTTACATTTATATCTTCATATAAACCATAAGCTTTTTATGTTTTGTGTAGGTAGTGATCAATACTGTAATAAAGTTAATTTTAATAATGCATAATCTCACTATGTTAATTGCCTTGTTTTTACTCTGTTGTACTTATAACTTCTAATATTTGTTTTAAAATCATTCTTTGTTCAAATTTATTGAATATTTAATGCTTGTACAAAGAGCCACGGATGTTTAGAAGAATTTAAAAGTCTTGGAATTTTCTAGTCTTGTGTTGGTAAATTTTATATTTTACAGAATTAATATGCTGTACATAAGGAGCAAACAAGAATAAAATGTACCTTTTACTTGTAATTTATTTGGAAATATATATATATTAATCTATTCCATCTGAGAATGTGCACTGCATCAATGCAAAATTGGAATTTTGTACAGTTTAATCAGTGAGATCAGAAAAGGCATGAATCATTGCTTGGTTACATTAGGACAAAAATTTTATACTGACTCAAGCTTTTCTGTTTCATCATATTATAAACTTGTTTTTCAAGCAATTGTGAGCAAGAAACTCGTGCTATTTTCTGCATACAATGTACTCTTATAGATCTAATTTATCTGAAAATTTTAAATCCAAAAAATGATGACTCATGCTGTTTCTCATCTTACCTTTGTGATTATTTTACTAGATAATAACTATTAAGTGAAAGAATTATTTTTAATTTGAAGTATAATGATTTTGAATCTTCCAGTCATATTTTGAATGAAATTTTCTTTTATCGAAAGTTTAGCTTTAGCAACAGTTTGAATTTGTAATTTTTTCCATATACTTAATTAACAAATTAACAAATCACTAACTTTCTTATCTTTTTTGTGTTTCTGTTTCCTTTGACTTTCATTATAACTATTTTTCTTTAGGTTTTCAGTCATGCTGACATCCAACTTCGCATATTCAAAATGGTCTTCAACTCTCCAGAAGTATCACTTGCTGTTCATCTGCACTGCATTCCTAATTTTCTCTTTTGCTGTACCTTTAGGTGTATGTGTTTACAAAACTAATTCTTAATGCTTGAACATTTTATTTTGCAAATAATCTGAAATAGTTTGAACCTCCAAAAAATCTGTGAATTTAAAATAGCCCCATGTTTCTGCTCCCCTTACTGGAATCATATTTGATCAGCATCCATTATATACAAATTTTTTTTAAACCCTGATTAACTTAAAGCATTTTAACCTGTATGAGTAAACTGCAAAACTGTCACTTCGTGTTATTATGAACCTCGATATGATGACTTGTTCTGATAAAATGAGGCGTACTTTCATTAGGCTAACGGAAGTCGCAATTGATCTTCTGTTAGACTAATGAAATTTTTCTTTCTTAAAAAGATCCATTTTTCGGCTAAAATCGCCTTATGATGATCTTCTTGAATATGAATAAGGTAATATATAAGCTTTTTCCAAAGGAATAAGTGATTCCTTTTATTTACTCCCTTTAAAGCCTTAAATAAGATATTTAGGTGCAGTTCTGCTCAACTGCTTTCCAAAACATTTATCCAGAATCAAATTTCAATAGTTTTAACACCATTCTGAAACTTGCTTTCTTCTAAGTTAAAGCTTACTGGAAGGGTCATTTGTCTTTTGTTTCTCTTTCAAGCTAAATAATGGACTTCTAATCAAAATCTGATTGTACCGTACATACACTGTATACGAATATAACAAATTGAATTGGACAGGATGATGCTTGTCTTAATTTTTTAATTCTTCATTTTCTACTAATATAATTCAGATTCCATGTCAACATCATTCTGAGTTCAAGTCAAGTTCACATGAATAATTCCTGTTGTCCTGAAAGGCAGTAAGAATTTCTACTGACGTTTCTTGTAGTTACATTGAGATTTTTCACAGTTTTTGATGATGCTTTCATTATGAGCTGTTCAAGATTCGTATTTGCCAGTCCATGTTAAATTTAAAATTTTAGAATTCATGAACAAATTGCTTCGGAAATTAAAATTGCCCAAATTTTTGTTTTCTCAGAAGTACTTTATTTTCGGTTATGAAAAATAAGGACACAACAGTGAATGCAGAGAAGAAAGGGAAGCATCTAGTACAATGGTTCTCAACCTTTTTTGCCTCATTCACCATTACTAGATCATCCTCCCTTTTCCAAAATTAAAAATATGCATACCGTGTATTCTGGCATATAGCATGTATTTTACAAAAAATAAGGTCAAAATTAACAGGTGTGCATTATACGCCCTGTATAAAAGTGATAGATTAAGAAAAAGATGAGCATACAAAAATTAGATTTCTACTTTTTCCTAAATGCTGTTTATTTACAAGAAATGACATACCTTAAAAATTTTCATTATCGGATAATATGAAAAGTTTGTTATGTTCAGATATATCATCGAAATTTATTTCACCTTCACCACCACTGTTACTCTTATCCATGAATAAATAATCATCTACCTTTCAATCTAGATTGTTGAACATATGACATTTTTTAAATTACTTTGAAATTATGTCGGGTTTAATTTAATTCCATGCTTTTATTATCCATCCATACACTATTTCTAGACTGGTATGATGCATCTGACCTCCTTTTGTAAATATTTTTTCACCTTCTAACTTCCACATATTCCACTGTTATTTTAAATTTTCTTTGAATGGTTTATTGATGCATAAATCTAAAGGCTGAACTAGTTTTGTTAATCCGCTGGAATTAGTGCCATGTCTGTATTACACTCTTTCAGTAATTTCTTCATATTATCCGTTAGATGGGATCTAAACATGTCCCCAAATAAAACACTTTCTGGATTCCTTAAGGCAACATGATGCTTTTGCCAAATATTTCTTATCCTCAATTTCACGCCTTTTTCGTCCATCCGTCTTTGCTTGTGGAAGTGAATAAAAATGCCATTTGGGAAATTATATTTTGGCAATGCCTGTCTTTTAAAAAGAGCCTTGGGCTTTAATTTCGTACCGTCTGCTAAGCAGCAGAGCACTAGCGAGGCAAGATTTTTCATGACCTGATGTTTTATGTGAACCGTTTTTATTCATTTCACATCATTTTAAAAATTTTCTATCATATCGAACATACCGGATTTCCATCTATATTTCCAGTATGTGACAGCAATTTTATTTTTTTACATCTGTAGGTCAGTAACATACTTCTGGAAATTTATCAATTTTTGTCCAAATCTTTCGGAAGCCTTCGTGAAACTTTTTTTTCCCCTCGTAGAACTAAATTATTTCGTGCCGTAAATCTACTACACCAACTCAAGTTCATATTCATTTAATGAGTTCATATTTCTTATCACATCAAACATTACTGGAGTTTCATTCATATTTCCAGTATGTTGAGAGTAATTTTTTTGGGGGGGGGGGGTCTTTCGTATATCAGTAACATATTTTTGAAAATTACTCAATTTATTATCCAAATCTTTTGTAAGCTTTTGTGAAACTTTCTTTCTCGTAGACCTAAATTATTCCATTCCATAAATCAACTACACCAACTCAAAGTTGCTTTAATGTTTTCACTTTCATTTGCATTCCTTTTCGCTCACTTTAAGGCTAATAAACATACATTTTTTCTTGTTATAATCAATCCAGTCCGGCGATTTTCTAGGACCTAGATCTCAACACTTTCTTCTAACATAGTCAATTTCTTTACTTCGTTACACAAAGCGCATTTATTCTTTGGCATATTAATTATTTTGATTCCATTTTTCTTCCAATCCCATACGAAGCTTTCACCAGCACTAAGCATCCTTGCTGCAGCACGATTTTCATTTTCTATCATAAGTAGCATGACTTAGCATTTTAAACCAACACTGTATTTGTTTCGTTTGGCAGAAGAACGTTTGTTCAAAAGCCTGCGGAAAATATTCGAATGAATGACTTTAAAAGATAGAGCATCACACATGTATTTTTCAGAAAAGAAAAAGGTGCACGTTATATGGCGAATATATCTAAAAGTTAAAAAATGTGGTTTGAAATTATGCGCCTTATTCACCGGAATGTATTGTATATATGTTTATTTAGGTTTAGACTATTTTTAATGCATTTTATAAATTAAATAATAAAAATTGTAGAAAATGTTGGAAAACATCAAAACTTGTATAAAAGTAGTTTTTTATATTCATAAACTAAAACCAAATATTTAACAGCTAAATAAAAGGCTGACTGCATCCTCCGTCAAGAGGTAATTCTAGAACCTCTGACTAAGTTCCTGCTAAGAAGACAAAATCTAAGTTCCTGCTGGCCATTTGTAAAATAGTTAAAGTGGTTTCTCAGGGGAATTGTGCTGGTAAATCAGTATACTGTGTTCACAGATGCCCATACCTGGCCTTTATTTTTGTAACCATTGATCGCAGACATATATTTCCAATCACAGAATTGGGTAAATCAGTATACTGTGTTCACAGACGCCCATACCTGGCCTTTATTTTTGCAACCATTGATCGCAGACATACACTCACGTTTGTGAAAATTGCAACACCAAGAAGGAATCGTCATAATTGAATGCAATTTAATACACAGTTGAGTGGTAGTGGTACAAATAAATGATTAAATGTTCAAAGCAAACAAACAAGAACAAGAGATCAGAATCAGTATTTTGTGTGGCCACCACGCGCCGCAATAAGTGCTGCTACACGACGTGGCATGGAGTCAAACAAAGTTTGAATGTCTGACTGAGGAAGAGCATTCCATATCGTTTGTACGCGTACCCAAAGTTCGTCTGCAGACGCAACAGGACGAGGATCACGAGCAAGACGCCGACCAATGACATCCCACACATGTTCAATTGGCGACATATCCGGGGAACACACAGGCCAAGGAAGAAGCTGTACCTGCTGACTGCAAAGAAGGATTTAACAATCCGAGCAGTATGAGGGCGGGCATTGTCCTGTTGAAATACAGCGCCTGGCAAGCTTTGAAGGAATCGAACAGCTTCGGGCTGTAGAACTTCACGGATATACCGGTTGCTGTTCAGATTGCCCACAATTCGTAGCAATTGAGATCGTCTATGATATGCTATGGCGCCCCAGACCATAACTAGGGTGTTCGTCCACTGTGGCGTTCGATAATGCACTCCGGAAGGTGGCGTTCACCGGCATAGCGCCTGACACGAATGCGGCCATCATGGTACCACAAATTAAAGCGGGATTTGTCAGAAAACACGACATGCTGCCAATCAGCACGCCAGTCTCTATGCTGATTGGCCCATTGTAGCCGCAGGCGGCGATGGTCGTGCGTTAGGGGGATCCTGTATAAAGGAGTCCGTGCGCGCAGTCCACACTGCAGTATACGTCTACGAATTGATGAAGCACACAATGAAACACCTGTAGCTATTGACCACAGTGCTGCCAATTGTCTAGAGGAAGCTGTACGGTCCGTCCGCGCCATGCGGACCAGGTGTCTATCATCGCGAGCTGACGTCACATTTCGGGGTCCACTCCCGGATTTCCGAGTTGTCCGACACTCGTCCGTCCACTGCTTCCAAACGCGCATCACTGTGCTGCTGTTACGCTGCACACGAGAGGCTACTGCACGATACGACAATCCAGCTTCACACAAAGGCCGATGATTCTCCCCTCGTTCAAACTCTGTAAGTTGTTCAAATCTCGCTCTCTTTCGTCGACGAGGCATAAGTACAGATTGAGTTAACGTTTACCACTAGCAGATAACCACCGATAAGCATACACGCCTCACTACAGCCGTCTATTTATTCGGATCCATCAGCCGTTCAGAGGGCGCTGCTCAGCATACGCATGCGCTACGGATTTGCAATTCTAATCATTTGCATATCATGCGCTACTTTGCATTTCCTGAAAATTTCAGCTCACTCGCGTAAGTCCTTCATGGTGTTGCAATTTTCACAAACGTGAGTGTATATTTCCAATCACAGAATTGTTTAAGTGACCCAAACGTTAATGTTTTCATAGTTTTAAATTAAAAAAATTAATATTGTATAAAATACGAAATCTAACTTCTTGTACATTCCCCCAGTCCCTATACTTATGTTTAGGAAAATTT